AAACTTATTCGGGCCAAATAGCAAAACAAACTTGTAGCCAATCAGCAATAAGGGGCGTGTCTACTCATGATGTGAAGGAGAGAGCGTTCAGTGCACGGGACGGACATTAGCGAGCCAAGCGACAGAAAGATAGAGATTGGTGGATAAAAAGCAAAAGAGGAAAACGTCTGCAGAACGAAAGAAGGCTTACGATAAGGCAAGAAGTAGGACCCGTGTAAATATCGAGAATTTTTTTTTCAGTCTCACTACTGTAACAATAAAAAAATTAAAAAGTTTTATATCATAGTAATAAAAAACGAATATAATTACTTATAATTTGGGAGGGGGGGTTGCCTTACAGTAAGTGTTCAGAAAGAAAAATATTTGCTTAATTTTCATGAAAAGAATGTCAAGAATGTTTTGCTGATACAAGAAAAATGCTTTGTTGGCTTGAGAAAAACACTTCACTTTTTTTTGCCAAAAATGTATGAAATATGACCTGGAAATGTGCCTGATATGTTTGAGTCACTCTTCTACCTATTAGTTAAACTATTCAATCTTAGGAAGCTTTTCTTGTCTGCTGTATGCATGTCATTCACTGCTCTCATCTGGATTTTCTCTTGTCTTTCTACCTTCTTCTCTGGGAACGAACAGCTGTGGCTGCTGGGCCAGGTCTCGGGCCCATCCCCATGTCGCAGTTCGGCACGATATCTCGACAGATCTCCCGACACAGCTCCACCACCTCCTCCGTCTCCACGGTTTCTGCCACGGGTACATACCGCCGAGCGCCATCCATCTCTTCCCAGTTCTCCCTGCAGCAGCCGCACGTTAACGGTGGCACAATCGCAAGTAAGAGACGGAGAATGAAGCACAAATATACAGACACGCACTGTACAAACTCACAGCCAATATAATCACATCTGGAGTTCCTTCGCCACAGTTTCATTCCTTTAAATTCAGCCCTGGCTAGGTGAAAGCCATATCTAAGCGTCATAATACCCAGGTATTTTTAGGCGCATCCTGTCTGCGATGAAGGGAACAGCCTGTCTCTACACACTGGTGTGCGGCCGTACACACTAATGCCATTAAGACCGCAAAAGCCTCAGCTTTATGAGCATTGAGAGCACCGGGCCTGTGGCCACCTGCTTATGAATGGAGATTTATTGTCATCTTCGCATTAAAGCTGAGATTTTAAATCTCACTTTCAGATGTCCGGAAGCATTAGAGTGAATGAGCGTCATATCGGCATCAGACATGAATGAGAGAGTATTACTAAAACATTACTGATGATGTTTAAAAGTTTGAGGTCAATACGATTCTTTTTCTTAAAACAATTGATAATTTGAATTCAGGAAGGATCAAAAGAAATCAAAAGTGACAGTAAATATTTATTCATAGTGTTACATAATCATTCGATTTCAAATGAATGTGTTTTTTTTTTTTACTTTCTATTCATCAAAGTATCTTGAAACAGAAAAAAGAAAAAAAATACATACACACACAAGAACGCAGCAGCAGTTTTCTTTCGGGGATTTGTCATGTCGCGCCGCGTCGCATCCAGTGAAGACAGCATCACTGATTATAATGAGTTCTATAATATCACGGGAAGTCGTGGCCTAATGGTTAGAGAGTCGGACTCGTAACCCAAAGGTTGCGGGTTCGAGTCTCGTACCGGCAGGGATTGTAGGTGGGGGGAGTGAATGTACAGCGCTCTCTCCCACCTTCAATACCACGACTGAGGTGCCCTTGAGCAAGGCACCGAACCCCCAACTGCTCCCCGGGCGCCGCAGCAAAAAAATGGCTGCCCACTGCTCCGGGTGTGTGTTCACGGTGTGTGTGTGTTCACTGCTGTGTGTGTGCACTTTGGATGGGATAAATGCAGAGCACTAATTCCTAGTATGGGTCACCATACTTGGCCACGTCACGTCACGTCACGTATTTTGTCGCGCCGCACCCGTCCAGTATAGACACGGTGAAACATTAGTTTTGCTTTTGTTTCACAGAAAGCTGAAATAAAAAAAAATAGTAAAAACTATATAGACATGTTTAAAAACATTTAAAAACTAAAAAAAACATTAACTAAAATTAACAAAAGAAAATAAAATCTAATTCAAAATATTAAAAACTATAATAGTATCTCAGTGATACTAAAACACTGTCACTAGAAATCACTCGTTGTGATATAATAATTATCTCTATAAAATGATTTAAAATCCTTTTCCATTCATCCTTAAAATCCTTTTTCAGTCCATTATGAACAACCAGAAATGTTGTCGAAATAAACTGGTCAGAAGTTATGGAAACGCTGCTGTTATTCGAGATCGAATCGCCAGAGAGAATGTCATTTTCAGTCTTTCTATGTCTATAAGGTTCCTATTTCTACAAGATTACAATTCCCCCGCCTTTCTCATGTGGGACTGACGTTTTTCTCTCTCTCTCTCTCTCTCCCTGCTTTCCTCTCCTTCCTCCTGGTCTTTGCTGTGTGCTTGTGTTTGTGACGGGTGGTGTTCAGTGTCTATGGCCCCTCCTCCTCCACCCATGCCTCAGCTCACCCCACAGATCCCTCTCACAGGCTTTGTGGCCAGAGTACAGGAAAACAGTAAGTCTGACGGCCACGTTTCGCCAACGTTTCTCACCCCAGCATGTAGATGTGTTTGCGGTTTGCTGCATGCTGCCCCCATCTCCATTTCCATCTATCTGTTTGTGCTGTAGTAAACATTGTTCATTCTGCAGGTCAAAGTGCACTCGTATTGCCATTGTTCATTCAATACAATTCAAACAATACACTACAATAAAGCCTTTCCTAACGCCTAAAGCCTGCAAAACAGTGTCACACATTTACATAAGCGTGTATTGCTTTATGGAACCTAAAAGAGGCTTAATAGACTGTTTGGAGAAAGATTTCTTAAAAGGTTTTTTTTTTTCTAATTTGCACATGTTCTACATTCTGGATTACAGTGGGATTCAATGGCGATAAAGCATGTCTCGTTTATAGACTTGATATTAGATACTCTTTCATTCATTCATTGGGCTACATTTGTGTACGGCTTTGTGTTTGATTAATACCCAGCCAGCTTTAGGTAGGGCTAAACCACACTGATGCATCATGGGAAGAATAGAAAGCTTTTAACTGGCCCAGTGTTTTGCCAGTGATCAGAGCAGCATCGGTTACCTCGCATTCTGCTGACGGTGATGTATATAATACAGGGTTGCATGAACAACGTGTGTCGAGTTGCAGCAAAACATGCACTTTGAGTGCACTTTATTTCTCAGAAAGGTGGATCGGTTTAAGAAGAAGCCGTCATTGTAGGTTTTGTCATAAAAGCACAAAGTGGTTTTTGCTGCCCTCTCGTGATGCGTTCTGGTATCGTGATGAGTTTTTGTTGAGGTCCTCTCACACAGACCTTTGACTGAACACAAAGTCTGATCAACTTCTTTTTCTGGCCAGGAACCAGCCATATTGACAGGAAGTGATTATTTGATCAAGTACAGTTCATATTGGTTTTATGTGCCCCCAAATATTAAGTCTGCTAAATATTTTAAAATATAAATATCCATTGATATTTTGTGAGAAAAGTTTAGACGTAATAACAACAATAATAACATTATTATTATTATTATTATTATTGTTTTATTGGTTAAATTGGTTTAATAATTATACATAATTCTTAATTATTATTTTATTATATTCATTATTGTTTTTATCATGTCACTGTACTCAGGCCAAAGCAAATTAATTAAATATTATCTGGAAGAAAAAAAAAAAAAAATAAATAAATATATATATTTAACCTACTGTTAACATTGTATACCTTTAAAACAAAATAATAAAAAATGTCAATCAGTGTTGTTTTATTATCATTGATATACTATTATAATATTTTTATAATTAGCTTTTATTTTTATATGTGCAGTTTTCATCTTAATTGAATTTTAATAGTTTTGTGTAGTTTTGTTGTATGCTTTTGTCTTTTTTTATAAGTTTATTTTAAAGATTTATTTATTTATTTATTTATGCATTTATTTATAGCTTCACTAGATTAACTACTATAACTAGTGGACAAGGAAATATTTCTAATTCATTTGAGTTTATTTTTTTCATCTAATAGTTCTATTTCAGCATTTTTTGTTAACAAAAACTATTTTTAATAGTTTTAGTTTTAGTTAATAATAACTCTTCTGCCAGTAGAACAAAATAATCTCATGATTTCCCACCAGACTTTAGAAAGCAATATAAAATGAAAATATGAAATAAAAATTTTTTTTTTAAATATTGTCCAAAAAAAAATGGTTTATTTAAACTTAACATTTTAACGGTTAACAATTCTATGACTTTTTTTTTGTTTGTTTGTTTGTTTTTTTCTTCATACAAATTTTCCACGGACCCACAAGCACCTTTTTCTAGTTTGAGTGTGTACTGTGTATTATGTCGTTTACTGAGGAATGATTTCATAGTATTGCTGTCTTTTGGATATTGAATTCAATTCTGTTCCATTTAAATCCTCTTAAGTTTTCATATCTGTGAATAGCTCCATACATATACAGTGATCTCCCTAGATCCATAGATGTGTGTGTGTGTGTGTGTGTGTGTG